CACTGAAACCATCCTGCCTCTCACAAAGACAGGGAGTGGGAGTAGGTGTCCTTGTCCAAAGGTAATTTTGATGAAGGACTTGAATCCTCAAGTGAAGAGCCCCTGGGTAGAGTTTATCTGACCACTGAGCCTGGTTCTTGGTTGTAAACTGGTAACACTCACTGGCAAAAGTATCTATGAGGAATCCCGGACTGGTTTGGGTTGGAAGGGACCTTAAAGCTCACCCAGTCCCAACTCCCTGCCATGGGCAGGGACACCTTCCACTAGAGCAGGTTGCTCCAAGCCCCTGTGTCCGACCTGGCCTTGAACACTGCCAGGGATGGGGCAGCCACAAGTTTTTAGCACAAATGGAAACCAACCCTTCTGGCTTTGGCACCACCCTGTGAAACTCCAGTAGTGAAACCATCTGAATTATTTTTGCTTTACAAGACACAAACCTTGTCTGAGCTAAGAAAGAGGAGTGTGGAAGGACACAGCATGCTCCATTCTTGACAAAGAGCTGGCCCCTGTCTAGCAGTGGGCTGGTTCTGCTGGTGCAGCTGTACTAGCAGAGCAGAAGGAGGCTTCCACTAAAGTGAATGTGGTGTTATTTATTATGTGCATAGAAACTGAGTGTACTTTCTGTGGATTTACTGTAAAACCTCTACTCTTTGACCACCACACTGCAGGCTATGACATTGCCAGCTGGCTCCAGCTCATAAAATCCTTTAAGACATTGAAAACACCATCTCTAACACAAACCTTTGCAACTCTTCCCATGTTGTTTATTTTATTACGAGAATAGTTTTAAGACAGAATACAAAAATCAGGTTAAAATCCATTTTTGAATAACAAAGAGACTTGACAAGCCTCAAATCTCAAGTCATCTCTGCTGGCCCTCGTTGTGCAGCACAGCAACAACGTACCGATCCCTCACCTCAACATGTGGTGCTGCACCATAACTCTGCTCTCCTGCAGAGCACCCCATGCAGCAGCAGTGCAGAGATTACAGAGGAAGTGCTCTTCCTTCCATTGTTTTATTGCTATCTCAGCTCAGTGATGATGCAGCTTTCACTCTCCTCATGTTATCCCTAAATCTGGCAAGGACGAAACCAGCCCCTTGTGCCCTCCCCAATTACTGTATAACCACGTCGATGCTGTTGACTTCAGGAAGGAGAATTAACAAGGCATTAATTAGGCTATTAAAAATAAATATTCTTATGCAGGAGCTATACTGACCCCTACAATTAATATATTAATAATCATTAACTTGTAACTTTAATTGCGTGACTCATAGGGCTTGAGTTCTATTTAGAAACACCCAAACATCCAGAACACAAACTCCATGGGGAGGGGGTGGCTGAGGCCCTCAGACCCACTTACTTCAAAGGATGAATCATCAGAGGCTGGTTGGTATGAGCAGAAGTGGCCTGGACAAGCAATGAGGTGAGTTAAGCTCTTCCCTGGAGGTGTTTCTGTCTCTTGGCTACAGAGAAATAACGCAGCTTGGCTGTGAGCAAACCTTTCATACTACATAAACCAAGCAAAAATGTATTTATACAGCAAAGGCTCTCTGAAAGAACCTCTGGGACTTCTCACGACAGCAAGTGCTCTTTCTAGAGCTTCAGTATGTATTTCAGTAAGAACAAAGACACTCACAGCACTTTCTCTTTACTCTATCCTTCCAACGTTGACACAGAAGACAAAAATCATGCCTCCCCCCTACACACCTATTACTCTGGGTTGTATGTGTCATTGCCACAAAGTTATGCAGCTCGAAGTGCAGAGCAAGCCTGAAGGATTCTGAATGCAATCAGAATCAAATATAACTGATACAGACATCAGAATGTGGAAACAGTAAGAAGTTTGGGTATAGGCACATGAGACTGCCAAGATAACTCTATAATTTACTGATATTCCTGAGGTACAGGTGCATCAGAGTCTTTTAGCCCTAGTTCTTGGCTACCTCTGTTGTACAAATGACTGTCCTATTTTACAGCAGCTTGAACAGAATGAAAAGCAAAACTTTCCATCAAGTCTTGCAGCAAAGCACCATGACTGGACTAGAGGGGTTCTTGCTTGGTTTTAATTACGTGGCTTATTCATTACAAGGGTAAGCACTTGCTGTATCTTTCTCACACCAGGATTTCATGCCATGGTTGGAGCAGTGGCTCTGCTGTCAGGCTGGAGGTTGATGAGGGAATTGCTTGCTTGGGCCAGCTCTGCAATGGAGACTCGTCCTCGCTGTTTGATGTACTGGGCCACAGCAGCCATCTCCTCTGGAGTGATGTAGATGAACTTTCCTCTGTCATCAATCACACCTACAGGGGGAAAAGAAAGGACCTTGAAGTCAGCACTTCGGCTCCTCTCACTTCCCCACTGACATCAGTCACTTCTTTTGGAAGGGACATTCAAACTGCTGAGGCTGCATTTCATATCTAGGGCAGGCAGAACAACGTGCCAGCAGCCAGGCTTTTATCTCCTCTCTACTGCTGGGTCTTTGAGCAGGGCTATGACAATAGGCAAGCGCCTTGGTAAGACTGTGGTCAAAGTAACACATGCTTTTTATTGCACACAGCTATTTGGAAGTACCACAGCAGCTGCTTCAGGCAATACTCTTGGTGGTGATATTCTGCACCCAGGCAGCTGATGGAGAAAGGCAGAGAGCAAGAGGGTCCAGGAGGTGCTTCAGAGCTCCTGTGGAGCCCAGCTCAGCCATTCCAACCTGCCCTCTAAAAGGAGATGAAGCTCAATTCCCATATTTCAGTTGCACCATAAAGAGTGAGAACAGATCTCCCTGTTCTTAATGCATTACAGGATCACATGCAAAGTAGAGAGACTCACTGCGTGCCTTTGAAGACACAGACAGGACAGTACACACCCTTATGCTTTGATTCAGAGCACTTTTAGGTCGTTTGAATGGGTATCCACATGCACCCATTAAGACAGTTGATTCCCAGCCATGACCATACTATCAGGTCAATAAATGTTTGTGTTGGCACCTTCCCTGACTTCATCTTGGAAACAAAAGGACTGCCCAGCAATAAACCAGACTTGTGCAGACAGAGAGCTGCCCACAGGCTCAGTCTCTGCTTACATTCCAACTCTGATTGTGTGGGTACAGGGAGCAAGCACTTCACTTACTGCAGCATCCTGGAATGCTCTGGGATGTTTGCTCTCCCACAGCGTGCCCTACCCCAGTCCTGGCTTTAGGCAGAGCACCTTTGAAACAGGCTGGCAAACTACCCCAAAACATGCAAGAGATTCTTTCAAATTCAGGTTTCAGAAGAGATCATTTGCAGCTGGCTCTGCAACCCCTGCAGGCCTTCAGCAGGGCTCAGCCAACACACAGAAGTCTTCTGCTGGTTCCTGCGCTGCTGGGGACATTCACCCTCCGCCTCTGTATAATGTACCCTAGGAGCAATCATGACCCATTGTGCTTTAAAAGGGACTTAAGCAGGGATAATAATCATAGAATTGGTTTGAGTTGGAAGAGACCTTAAAGCTCATCCAGCTCCAACCCCTGCCACGGGCAGGGACACCTTCCACTAGAGCAGGTTGCTCCAAGGCCCTGTGTCCAACCTGGCCTTGAACACTGCCAGGGATGGGGCAGCCACAGCTTCTCTGGGCACCCTGTGCCAGCGCCTCAGCACCCTCCCAGGGAAGAGCTTCTGCCCAAGAGCTCATCTCAATCTCCCCTCGGGCAGGTTCAAGCCATTCCCCTTGTCCTGTCCCTCCAGGCCCTTGTCCAAAGCCCCTCTCCAGGTTTCCTGTAAGGTCCCTTCAAGTCCTGCTAGGATCCTTTACAATTTTAAACAGAAATTACACTAGAAACTTCTCTCTACCACAGTGAAGGAGTGCTCTGCACCACCTATTCACCAGCTACCACCAAGTTCCCTTTGTGTTTTGGCTGTCACCTGTTAGCGTGCCATCTGCCATCAGGTCCTGGATTCTGTTAATTGCATCCTGTTCAGAAAAGAAAAGGAATAACAAATGGATCAAGAGGGAAGCAGAAAATATTTCACATGTTCAGATAAACTACAGGTGGAGACTTAGATTTAATTCCTCAGTGTTAAAAACTTAACTGAAGGATACACATGAGTATTTCCACACAGACAGATGCAATAAAAGCCCTTTGGTTTTAGAAGGATGAAGTAAGCTTCTGCATTTTGGGGTGTTCAAATAGCTTCTTTACCCTCAAAAGAGAGACTTTTATTGCTAGGTTACCTGGCTAATTCAAGGAACTGGGGGTGGTTATAGCAATCTTCCCAGGGAAAGGCTGTATAGTGCCAATGCAAACCTGAATACACTTAATATATTCCAGAGCTTTTCATATTTTTCCCTTCTCCATTAAAGTGGAAACCTCTTTCATCAATCCAAAGCAACAACTTGTTGAATATATTGCTGCTGTATAGTTACTCCAAGCATGCAGATCCATTACACCTTAAGCTAGTATGTAAGCCTTGGTTTCCACAGTTCTGCCTCTCTCCCTTTCTTGTATTTATGTGACTGCAGAAGCAGATTATAGCTTAGATTTCAACCAGGCAAGTTCCCTTAACTGACTCACTGCATGCTTAAATGCAGTTCTGGTTTAAGAGAGAGGCAGGGGCACAGCAGCCTGGACTTAGAGCAGCGTACACTGCTGTGAAGGGTCATCCTGAGATCAGAACGACAGAAAACATTGCTCACTTAAGAAATATACATCAAATGTGCTCAAATTAAAATTAACCAAGCCACAAATATTCTTCTGAGTTAAAATATAAGATGTTTAGAGAACAGAAAAAGGGGGGGGGGGGAAGCCTTTGTTGATCTTCTCCAAAATCCACGTATCTTCAGCAGTGCTGAGACACCGGGACAGATGTTATCCTGAATCACCCACTTTCTCTTCTCTCCTTTTAAACTCATTGTTTTACTTGCACCCCAAAAGTTAGTACTTACCTGTGTTCTTAAACCCAAATGTGAAGCCAAGTCCTCCAGCTGGATGACCTTTGTTTTCTATGGAAACAAACACGAGTTCAGTGCAGCCTAGGAATTAGGGGGTTAGCATACTTCTTTTCCTTTCACACAAAGATGCACTTAATAGACAAAGTAGAAGCTGTCATTCTACTAACTTTGCCTAGTAAGCACTTTAGTCTGATGATAAAACTCTAACTTGAGTTACTTAAACCAGTCTGCTCTGTGGAATGACTGAATGCTCCAATGTACTTAAGTGAAGACTCAAATACTTTTGCCAGTGTTTATCCTGAACCTTTCCTTACATAGTATGAGATGTCCCTACCTGTGGCAAGGGGGGTTGGAACTAGATGATCTTAAGGTCCTTTCCAACCCAAACCAGTCTGTGATTCTGAGATACTATGATTCAGAGGACAGGATGAGCACAAGGACAAGAAACAGCCATGGCATTGCTCTGCCAGCTGAGCTTCTCAACTCTCCTTTTCATTCCAGTGTGCATTAGCAAGATCCCTTTGTGTTTGAGAGGTGTTTCAAAGTACCTTTGAAAATGATCACTGCTGTATCAGTGCATACATAAAAATCCAGGCAGGACTGACTGGCAGCATTAAGTGCTTTAGTCTGTTTTACTAATGTCATGTGTATTAATACCATAATAATCTTCCTAAGCAAGTGAACACCTTATTAAAGTTGTCAGTGCTGGAAGCATACTGCTAACGTGCTCCTGTGCAGGCAGTGAGATGATCTGAGAGCAAAGGCAGAAGCAGGAACTGCGACTGCTCATTTTGCTGGTGACGGAGATTCTTAGGGCAGCCTCTCAGTCAGGATGCAGCCACCACTGCTCACATCTGGTTTTATGCTTCTCTCTAGCTCCAGAGAATCACAGAGAAACACTTCGTGCTCTCATCTGGAGCTACTTGGTTCCTGTTTTCTGATCTGCAAAAGTTCAACACTCATCTGTTGAGATGCAGTAAAAGGATGCACTGTTTGTAAGGAGCTTGGAAAACATAACACTTCTGAAACATTCTGGATTACATTCCTATGAGCTGTATATGTACAACCACAAGAGCTACATCTACATTATCAGATGCAATACTTCAAACATAAATGCATTTGTTTCTAATCTTGGAGGACACTGAAGAAATAGAGGCTGAAATAGATGAATCTTCTTAATAAAATCAGACACACACACCCCCCAAAAAGCCACACACAGACTTAGTAGTTGTGAAGTTTGATGCAGCCAAGCTAGAGAACTGAATACCATGGACTGAACACATGGAATTGGAACCAGTCCATGGAATTCAGTTCTCAGAGCTGGGAACTGCCAAGGTTCGTCACATCTTCTTTTAAAAGGATGGGAGAGGGGGGGTGGTGCAAAGCCATATAAACAAGAAAAACAGGATTTAAACCTTCATTTAAAGATATTCACTCTCGATGACCAAGTTTAGTGGAAGCTTTCCAAGATATATCCTGCTGTGAATAAGAGCCCAGAGAGTGGGGTGGGATTAGGATGCATTCCTCACACACTCTGAAATATAATGACATTGTGAGGTCCCACTGAACAAAACACTTCACCACGTGCTTCGTGTTCTAGGGACAGGCTTAACTTTCCTAGAGCAACATACACACATCCACAGTTTACTGAATTCATTTAACTTTAGGTGTGATTCTGCTGTTCTCAGCAAGGGAGGAAACAGAGCAAGTGCTCTCAGGATTAGGATGAGTATAAATAGGATTTTTCTTTCCTTATCTTATAAGCATCATTTCTGTTAAAGGAAAACCGAGAAAGGGTAAAGCCTCTAAGCCCTTCACTATCCCTTTCAATTCACTGGCTGTAACTCAGATGCATTCAGTGATACCCTGTCAAGCTGGGTGAGAACAGTTTGATGGACAAAGTACAAGCTCCTATTCCATGGGCCAGCAAAGCTGGTGCTCCACAGGCAGGGAACTGCTCAACCACTCTTTAACCTCTGCTTTCTGAAGCGCTCAGAGAACTCACAGAGCTGGTTTGGAAGGTGAGTTGTGCACCTACAGCACTAAGTAAAACCATAAAGCTCTCACTAAGAGTTGGTTCTTCTGCTCCTCTGAGACCAGAGCCATTGAGTCTGTGACTTGAGGACTGGCTGCTGTAAGAAGCAAACACGGGACTGCAGCAGAGATGGTGTCACAGCCTGAGGGTAATGTGGTGACACTGCAGCACATGGGTTTAACAGGTTGTGGGGCTGCTATGAAACCCCCATAGGAAGGGAGGTGCTCAGCTTTCAGAAAAGCAGAATTGGGGGGTGTCAATCCTTTTGGTGCCTTAAAGAAAAAACCCATTTTAAGCAACCCCACGTGGCAGGGCTGGAGAAAAGAGGCTGCATTTTATCTCAGACACTCGTAGGGATGAAGCATGGGGTGAGCTATGTCCAGCCAGTTATACCAATAAGGTTTTTCAACAGAAGAGCTAAATTACATTGGTTTTTAATTCATACGTTTTCAGACGGCTACTAGCAGCTTAGCACTGCTTCTTGGTATAACCCAACAGTTTCTGTGAATAGAAGAGATGAGGGCAATACATAATCTATACATTAAACATACTTAATATCACTTAAATAGATTAAAAACAATACTAAAATGTGTAGAGAAAAAGCAATGCCCCAGTTCTGCAACTTGTCTCCATAGAGGAAATCAGATGTCAAAGTGCTTCTGAATGAGGTTTTCAGCCTGTGCTTAATTTCTCTGACGTCAAGTAGAAGTGACTAACATAAAACTACACACGTGTGCTCAAACACTGAACTGAGAGTTTGTGACTAATTTGTTCCAACCACCACAACCACCAGGGCAACGTGCAGAATGAGAGCCTCCTGTGTAATCGCTTGGAAAACCTCCCAGTTTTCATGGAAGATCCCAAAGGACACTCAAATATCCTATTGTTCTACCTACTGTTGCCCCAGGGCAGCTTGTTTATCAAAAAAGAACAGCACATTTTCCTTAAGCAGCAGCTTGGCACTATCTTGAAAGCTTTAGATGGGAAGAGGTGAACTGGGATCACACATTATCACATAGTCCATTTCCACAGGTAATAGAGACAGAGGCTGGTCTTAACAGAGGTGGCCAGTCCAAAGTTCCCATCCCTTTCACAGAAATCCCTCTGGCTTCTATGGAAAACAGAATATTGAAATCCCTTCGTGACTGCAAAATGAAATGTGTTCACTGCTGCCCCATGGGTTTATTTAGGCTTTAAAAACATGGTACCCATAGCTTTTCCAACCTATTCTCAGCTATCTCATCCACTTCTGGTGGTGCTTCTGATCAGAGCTGCCTGCCTTATGCTGGGGACTTACTGAACAAGGGCTGTTTCCGTCTGGGCTGCAGCAGTGAAGGTACGTTCTAATCTGAGCACTGCTAGTTTAGACATTTCCATATTACCCCTAGAGATCATATTGATCAGGAAGCTCCTGACAGAGGCAAACCCAGCAGCCTCTCACTGCAACATGATGGCAATGGGATACACCAAAGTGTCACTGAGACAGGAGGCAGAGAGCAGCCTGGCAAAAAAGTACTGGTGCCAGAAATGTGCAGTGACCCTGTATCAAGCAGGGGGTTGGAACTAGATGATCTTTATGGTCTCTTTCAACCCAAACCAGCCTGTGATTTTATGAGCCATTGTGAGGACTTACTTGGCAATCACTCAAATTGACTCTTTGTCAAGAGACACCCATGAGACAAATCTGTTTATAAGTCCAGGGTTTTGCTGGGAAAATGGACATGCAAAACTGGCCCAGAGTGTGAGATTCTGGATTAACAGAATGATTAGAGAAGCTGTGGCTGCCCCATCCCTGGCAGTGTTCAAGGCCAGGTCGGACACAGGGGCTTGGAACAACCTGCTCTAGTGGAAGGTGTCCCTGCCCGTGGCAGGGGGTTGGAACTGGATGAGCTTTAAGGTCCCTTTCAACACAAACCAGTCTGGGATTCTACAATTAGGACTTCACAGAGTATACAAGTGATTTGCTTATTGATGAAGCCTTTCACACACCTTCCATGCACTCTCGGGTAAGATTCCAGTTTCCAGGAAAGGAAGGAAGGAAGAGATTCATTAGGACAAAAGATTTGCATAACGTTGTTACAGTAAGAGTACAAAAATGCAGTTGACCTTTGATACACCAATCGTGGAGAAAGAAGCATTTGTCCTTACAGATCAAAACTGGAAATCCTCCTGAATGCACCATAGCTTTTAAACAACCAATCATACATATGCTGAAAGGGAGACTGGCACACCCTGTTAAAACAAGTGATCTTAAATATCCCTTCCAAACATTAAAACAACATTGCAAACTGCACAGATAAAAACAAGAAAAGAAACTGCATGAGAAGTTGGGTTGACCTTTACAATGCCAGCGTTTCAGACACAAACACATCCTGCATGGCAGCCACACGCTGGCACAGCAGTTCTCATTCATGCTGAGCTCAGATGTAGAGATTTTCTAAACCAGTAGCTGATGTTCACAAACAAAAAGCCTGAATGTCCCAAATCCCAATCAACAGCAAACACTGCTGTTCATAGAGTGGGAGGAGGGTGATCCAGCAGGCACAAGAGTTCATATTGCCTGACCTTATGAAAGAAGGTTAGGAGCTGCAATCCTGCCCCAAAAGCCAAGACACAGCTATAATTACAAACCATTTTAACAATGATGGACATGCTCATGCATGGTTAAGTAAATAACACAGACTTTAGCTAAGGTATCATGTTTGTTACTTGTTAAACATTGAAGTAAATCAAAGCGGAGTAAAGACTTCCTTTTTTTCTGCAACTCAGCTCTTTGACAAGGGTATTTTATACAATCTAACAAGCATGGAAGGAGGAGAAAGACCAGTGGTAGCTTACCTTAACATACTCCAGAAATTCCATTAGGAAGCTGCGAGACTGGATACAGCAGGAAAACAAGTGTTAGTTTAAACTCATGAATGTTAAATACATCACAGACTTCTTTAGTTTGCATCCTTCTGAAGCTTTAAACATACACCGAGGGACATTCTGAACTGGAAAAAATATGCATCTAGTTTTAATCTTAACTAGGAATTTATGAAAGGTATTTCCTAAGACACAACATGGCTCAAGAACAATTTGTGTTTCTGTGTCTTCTAAAAAGAAAACTTATTCTTCACATCATACATACCCCGAAATAAGCACATCTGGGTGAGCCTGTGGATTAAGTTACACACACTGAGGACATTTTGTACAGAGCTAGAGTACAGACTGATTGAGGAGACAGCTCATGCAGATGGTCAAGTGTAGCACGCAGCTGTGCAACACATGTGGGAGCTGAAGCCGTTTTCAAAGCTACACACCTGAAATCCGGCATTTCAATATAAGCAGCTCAATTTTCAAAGGCAAAAGCAAACAATGTGCATTTGAGTTAACAGGGGATCAAGTTCCTCTCAACCCTGGAACTCAATCAGCTTTCATTAAGTGCTTTGCTCTGGACTTAGGGCTTTAATTTGCAGCATGAGTTTCAGCACGCTGGCTGAAACACAAGGCAGAGGCAGCTCTTCGTAACAGGATGCTAAAACACTTCAGGACACGATCCACCACATGGCAGAAGGGTTGTTTGCCACTTCTGCAAGGCTGGTGTCTCCAAATAACTATGTCCCTGTCATTGTTTCTGAGGATGACTTTTAAATCACCTACTATTAAAGTTCTAACTCCTCACCCCTACCAAAGATATCTCATGTTGAGATCCAGCCAGCATCAACTGCCTGCCAAGCACTTCTGAGTGAGGAACACCCTTCTCTGTTCCCACACAGAGGAAGATTAATTCACCTTGACAGAAGCTGTAGGAACACAGACAATAAACACATTTTGGCTCTAAAGGGTAGTCTAAAGTGGAGCAATTTAATACTCAGGTATAATCTGATCTTCTAAGAGGGAGGCATGCATTTCTGAAGGAACTTGGAATAGAAAGTATGCATTTTGCTGCTCTCTGCATCTTAAGTAATTCCCCGTTCCCAGATACAACTTCTCCTGGCATGATGGAGGAATTATCTTAATGGGCAGGGATCCATAGTGAGACCTTGTGACTAATGTCAAGCAGTACTGAGCCATTACAAGCTCCTCAGCCCAAAGCCACTCTCAAGTCACGCTAAAGGCAAAACCGTTCAGAAGGGTCACTTTGGCAGAGGAGCAAATGTGTTAGGCAGCTCAAATTTGGCAGCTTCAACCCAAAAGCAGTTTCAGCATTTGATAGCAATTAAAATGACTCTAGCAGGTTTTCAGCAGGCAGAAGAAGAACGCTGCCTCCCACAAGACTGAAACTTCTTCAAGTTTGCTGTGATATTATGTCAAGTATCACATCTCAACCACCATCCCCAGCAGTGCATCTGCAGGCAGCCACAGGAGGAGCATGAGAGAATGTTATGCATGAGTTTGAAATAGTCAACCACAGCAATCATTTGCAGCACTGAATGCACAGTTTTCCACTGGACAACCCACAAGCACCTAGGCTGTGTCCTGTGAATTCTCTTAACAGCAGCCTTTTAAGACAAGAGCTTGGTTTTTCATTTGATTTTACAACAGCTCCATTAGTCTAGAAAATAAAACCAAAACCAAGCAATTCCCCCTAGATATGTGGGCACTACCAAACTCCAAATTTAGCCTTACTTTCATCTGGCCCACTGTATGTGGGCAAGGCAGAGCTGGTGACAGTAGAAGATTATCTGAATTCCAGAATGAGTTTTATTTCAGTCCTTAAGATGAAGGGAGGAGACCTCATTTCAAGCCATATGCATTTTGCCTCAGCACTCTAAACTGACTTGTAGGAGTCTGGTATGAGGAACTGCAGCATTCCCCAGGAAAGACTCCAGGTTGACCTGTGCCATCTACACAGTTTAGCTTTAAAAGCAAAACTATTTGGCTGACTCCTGCTTTAAAGTTCTTTTACATGGGACAGAATGCAGTAAGGACAACCTGAGTCTAACAAAGAGAAAGGAAACTGCAGGAACAGCCTAAGATACATACCTGTTCTTCTGTCATTGATTCTTCAACCCCTTCCTCTTCAACTACAAAACTCTCCTTCAGCTTCAGGTACTCTTCATACTCTCTCTTTTCCTCTTCTTCTTTTGCCTTCCTTTTTTCCTCTTCCTGGATAGAAAAGAGGACAAGTGGTCAGTTTGGTCCTCCCCATATTAGGTTTAAAGTAAAGTTGCATCTTCTTAATCTGGTTTTACTAGGAGAGGCAGCAGACAAAAAGGTTCTAAAATGAATCTAAGTCCTCCCTTGGTGACATCATTAATTTCAGAAGCCACCCTTCAGGGAGTAACCATCTCCCATACGGCAGTGCAAGCTTGCACACAATACACCTAGCCTGGTTCTTATAGATTTGACACAAGGGAGAAAACCCCTCTTATATTGCAACCTGCTTGCTTCATTTGCATGAATAGGTTTCTTCTGCAGATCCCATGACAGGAAGTCCCTGCCCCAACTGTACTTTGATGCAACATCCACATTGTCAGCAACTGCCCCAGTTCTGCTCTGACATGCATTGGTGCACGTTGAGAGTGATCAGAAAGAATAGTGGAGTTACACCAGTGTCCATGTGTATGAGAAGAATCTGGCTTGTAGAAGAGCTTCAAGTAAAATCTCTTACGATACACAAGCAATCTGTGTCTAGATGGAGTGTAAAGAACTGCATAAAGTATTTTAGGTAGAGAAGGCAAGGTGTGATTGTATTTAGAAATGGAGTTCTTACATGTTTGATTGTTAACCAAAACCTATAGGCTCTGTTTTTAGTTATTTGCAATAAAACCAGTTTCAGTTACCTACCCTGAAAGAAATGGTAAAGTCTTAAAAGCAACAATGCTGATCCAGCAAACTCCAGTGAAATGGTGATGCACTATGTAGAGTAGTTGCACATTCACAAATCAAAACTGAGATTAAAAGTTTTGGAGCGTGATAGATCACTTAAAATGTTTCAATAAACCCAGGTTTTTACTGGCTTACTTTTGCTCTTCTCCAAAATACTTCACACAGAAGGAAAATGTTTCCTTACAGAACAGTTTCTTCCACAGAGAAATCTACGTTTGTCCAGCATGTGGTGCTATGAGAGTCCCATTTGACTGGCCCCTGGTTGCTATCACATTGCAAAGGCTTGATTAAAACCTAGAAAGATGAGTCCTTCAAATTCTAGTGACAATCTCAGTGCATTCCTGTACTGTTAACACAGGAACTGATCTCAAAAACCAATTATATTGATTTCTAAATGCTTGCCATGCTACATCTTTGACACTAATATGGTAACTGCTTCCTTAAATGGTTGGGAGGAAACCCTTTGTTCCATTAAACCAGGAAGAGACAGGAACAGGTCATTAAGTATACTGAGAAACATCCATATTAGAAGAGTTGCCACATAAGGCAAAAACCACCAAGGGCCACGAGGATGATCAGGGGCTGGAGCACCTCCCGTATGGAGACAGGCTGAGAACACTGGGGCTGTTCAGCCTGGAGAAGAGAAGCTGAGTGGAGACCTCAGAGCAGCTTCCAGGGTCTGAAGGGGGCTACGAGGATGCTGGAGAGGGACTTTCATCAGGGACTGGAGTGATAGGTTCAAACTGAAACAGGGGAAGGTCAGGTTGGAGATAAGGCAGAAGTTCTTCCCTGTGAGGGTGCCCAGAGAAGTGGTAAATGCTCCATCCCTGGCAGTGTTCAAGGCCAGGTTGGACAGAGCCTTGGGTGACATGGTCTAGTGTGACGCATCCCTGTCCATGGCAGGAGTTGGAACTGGGTGATCTTAAGCTCCTTTCCAACCCAAACCATTCTATGATTCTGTGATACCAGAAATGGGGATGAGAGGGTTGCCCTTCAATAAAAACTGAAGGGAAAAATTATTTGGCCCCAATTTTATCTAGTCGAACTCCCAGAAAGTCACGAAAAGGAATGCTACTGACGTGCAAATATGAGAGGATCTTACTGTACACACAAAGTCAAACCCAATGTTTTAACCACTCTCTCATGACAAAACCTACAGATCTGAGGAAGCTCTTGAGACAAAACAAGACCATTTTCTGGGTCATTCATCACCGCAACATTTATAAGCAAAAGCCCAACAGTAGATTTTTTCCTTATAAGCACTACAGGTGCCAAGAACAACAGAACCAGATTTCATTTGGAAGTGACAGCAATTTTTCTTCCCTTGCAAGTGTATTACTTTTAATCTTGATCTTGGAAATAGAAGAAGGTTCTTCCCCTGGTCTGTTACAGAGGTCAGAATTCTACAGGATTTGAAATGAGGAAGAAAACAAAACCTGAAAATTGCTTTGGCAAATAGTTTCTAGATGGTTCTATAAGAAAATATCAGAATACAAAGTCCCATTTATAACTGAGAGGAACAACAGCTAAGGAATATTTTCCTGTTTCTGGAAGGTCTAACAACAAAGGAACAAGGCTTGTTGGTGTCTTCCTTACCTACTTAAGAACACTACCTTCTATTTTATTTAAGCATACCAGCACATTACTATCAGTGCTTCCATTTCCAATACATGCAGCAAAGCAGCTCTGCAAAGCACTCAGCTCCCAATCCCTCTTTTATGATCTCCTTAAAAGCCACCAGGAGTTTTTTTTCCAGATCCTACATTCTGATGCTATGATCAGCAGAGCATCTCCAGGTGGTCTGAGCTACTGCTTTAGTAGCTGAAGTGTGTCAGCCCTCAAAGCCTCACGTTTCCTGGTAGTTGTAGCCTCCTCTGTAACACTAAGTATTTCCAGAAGCTTTTTCATCTAATAACTACAAATCCCAGCTGCTTCCTGCAGAGTCTCACATGTTTTGCTACCTAAATTCACCTCTAATTCAATCTGTAGAAAAAGAAGGATTTAGCCAAACTGTAAAGTGGTTCAAAGCCAAGAGGAAAGATGACTTTGCAAGATGCACTGTGAGAAGCAACCAGCGAGTCAGGCTGTCTGTCAAGACTTATCTCAGCTATTTTATTCCACCATTGCACCAGCACTCTTCTTTCACATGCCCAAGTCATGCAGCAGTTGCATGGAAGGTACAGGGTCAAATTTAGGCAGTTGCATTCCCACAAAAAGCAGTCTGTCTGTCTGCACAACCCACACATGGAAACATTCTCAGCGCCCCAGGGTCTATGAAAGAAACAGAGCCCAGTGCTTGCTTCATGCAAGTCACACAGAGGGCACTCAGCTCAAATACAAGTTTAAAAGCCCACATCTTTACTAGTCAGGTTTCTCTGCCCATCCCTATTCTGATCTCATTATCTGCTGTAGTGAAGTGGTAAAGCATGTGGCTCGGGGGAGAGGAGAGCTGGGCCACCTCCCTTGAGCAATGGGTGCGGTGCTGGGGAAACCCCAGCACCATGGAAATTTGGTAACTGCAGATGCTCACCTGCAGCTGCTTGGTTTTTATTGAACCAGGTTTGCTTCCAGTGCAAAGATTTCTTTATGATCAGTTGAATACACTTCATATGATGAACAGACTTTGCTACTTGATCATATCATTATTGAAGAAAAAATAGTAAAGGTAATCACCCAAACCTCCTTCCTTCTCCTTCTGACAGAATGTCCACACTATCACTGCTGAATCATAGAATAGTTGGGGTTGGAAAGGACCTTAAGATCATCTAGTTCCAACCCCTTGCCATGGGCAGGGACACCTTGCACTAGACCATGTCACCCAAGACTCCATCCAGCCTGGCCTTGAACACTGCCAGGGATGGAGCATTCACAACTTCCTTGGCCAACCCATTCCAGTGCCTCAGCACCCTCATAGTAAAGAACTTCTTCCTTCTATCTAACCTAAACTTCCCCTGTTTAGATATAACTTTGAACTCATTACCCTGTCCTGTCCCTAGAGTCCCTGATGAAGGTCCCTCTCTCCAGCATCCTTGTAGCCCCCTTCAGACACTGGAAGCTGCTCTGAAGTCTCCATGCAGCTTCTCTTCTCCAGGCTGAACAGCCCCAGCTTTCTCAGCCTGTCTTCATACGGGAGTTGCTCCAGCCCCTGATCATCTCCATGGCCCTTAAACTTAAACAGGGGAGATTTAGGTAGGACATAAGGCAGAAATGTCAAGCTGTGGCTGCCCAATCCCTGGCACTGTTCAAGGTCAGGTTGGACACAGGGGCTTGAGGCAACCAGCTCTAGTGGAAGGTGTCCCGCGAGGGGAAGGTGGCCCTGGCCCGTGGCAGGGGCTTGGGACTGAAGGAGCTTTAAGGTCCCTTCCAACCCAAACCAGTCTATGGTTCTATCATTAATTGTGCCAACTGCACAAGAGCCCAACTTTTTAGCAGGTGAAACCCACAGCATCTTGAGAACTCTTTCAGGCTTAGAGCTGGAAGCAGACCTTGACTCTTGGGGTCACAAATCCCTATGGAGTTCCTGGGATGCTGCTTGAGCAACTGCACTGTTCTGGCTGGTTGACAGATTACATCCTTTGAAGGTTTATCATACATTACTGTTTTTAGCAAAGGGTGAGGACCCTCACAGGACTGCTCAGCAAGATGATATCAAACCACCACTTCCAGTTCTCACTGTGTAACCCCTTTAAGGTGGGACTGAGAAGAAGCAATATCAGCCTATGGAGTAAGTAGCTTTTCTGAGAGCTTTGCCTAAGCTTCTTTCCCAGAGGGCAAAGTGGTAGCTGTGTGCTGTGCCAGCTCTCTTCCAGATCAGCTATAAAGGACCAACTTGCTGACAAACAAATCATTTATAGGCAGCTTATTGGACTGCTAAGTGGAAGAGATCTCATTGCTGGTGAGGAAGGGAGAACAAACACTGGACTCTTCACCCACCACCTACTATCAGTCATTCTTTGTTTGTAGCTGTTTCTTTAACACACAGAATGAGAAAGGACATACTGGTTCCTATGCCAAATGTTTCCAGGTTCCTGGACCAAAGAAACCCTCCTTGCAGAGCATCCAGTTTTGTGCTGTTAGTGCAAGTAAAGGGACTTTAGAGCAAACAATCTGCCATTAGAGCAGATGGATCTCCAGGATTCCTGCCCCCCTCCTGTTAAATAAATACCTTTAGAAAGGCAGAATACATGTTCTTACCAGTTGTCATCCCCTCAGAATCAGAGCAGAATGAGTTTTCTGCAAGCTTTATGACTTGGACCTCCTTGGAGAAATTAATGCTT